ACAGTTAAACAGAACTCAGTATGTAGACCAGGCTGGCCTCAAACTCACAAAGATCTGCCTGCCTCTGCCTTACCTCCCAAGTGCTGGGATAAAAGGCATGTACCATCATGCCTGGCTTAGAACTACCATTTTCTTAATAATTAACCTCATCCCCTCTCCACCCATTTCACTTCCATAGGGCCCATGAATAAACTGGCAATAGTGGCAGATATAGAATTTATATATAAGCTCATCAGCATGGTTTTCTACAGATCAGGATTGATCTGGCAATAGCTATAGCTTTGTGTGAAGCTCATTATCCTTTCTGAAATTGATATCTATTCTAGTTGTGAATTTGCCTTGCCTACACATACTTCTGCCAAACTACCATCCATGAATTTACAGATTGCCTTGTCCGCCATTTTGATATTTCACACTGCATTGCATATGAAGTTTCATGGGCTCTTCAGTTCTTCAGCTGTGTTTGGGTTCTCTGAGTTGATATCCAGGTGTGGGTCTAAACATGACTTTGTGAGTCAGATGTACTGATAGGAGTGGAGTGAGGTTGTTGTGCTGCAATGCAAACAATTTGCTCCATGTGGAACCGAGCCATTACATGTATGCCCCATTGGATGTTCCAAATCTATTGCTTACATTTACATTCACATGACTTTGGCAATTTTGTGCTCATTCTCTTGAGAAATGTGCCAGAGCAAAATGACAGTTTTAGCTTCGACACTTCCTTGTGAACTTGGCAGGAATCTTGGGCGGTGTGTTACCAGGTCGTCTTAGGGGGAAGGGTGTCTTGCAGAAGCTCCTTCCACATGAGCATTTTCAAGACTCTTTTCAGGGCAATTGACTATGAGTCTTCTTCTGCTCCAGGAAATCCAAAAATTCTGCTGTTTATAAGAGAAACTTTGTTCCCCATCACTGATGACCTGTATAGGAGTTTCATGCTCTGAGCCAGCAGCTCCATGGTTTACACCCTGGCCAGGCAGAAGAATCAGGGCCAACTCATCCATAACTGCAGCCTCTCCAAGTTCTTTCTAGAAACTGGAGCCACATTGCATCCTTACACAGGTGAGAAGCTTTCCATAATTCTATACCTTCTTTCATTATCGTACAAATGCCTTTCATTATTTTTCAAATGATGAACACATATCTGATTACTACTTCTGACTTAGTGAGGGCACAGTTCCCAACACTTCCCTTTGTCCTCATAGCTATCACAACAATACATTCAAAATATGTAGCCCTTTTTGAAGAGACATTGTTGTCTTATCTTCAGAATTCACTGTCTGTATAATACTATGATAAATCCTTGATGGCCTCAAGCCCTTAACATTGTGAGAAAATGAAGAGCACTGTGCTTTAACTCTGCAACTTGCTCCCTCTCTGTCATTCCTGGCTTGACTGCATGTCATCCCCTTATAATCCATTCTCATCCCCAGGCACTCAGGTATTTCAGCCAGATACCCCTAAACAATCATCTGTCCTCTCACTATATTTTATAAACATATGGTAAGATCTAGTTGCATTCCAGGAGCTAGTGGGACCATGCCCTCATCAATGTCACTCAAGTATAATAACATTAAACTCAGTTAAATGTCCCTACTGTGTACTTTAAACTTGGAGGAATAATAAAAAACAATGAAATGAAGGAAGACAAAGATGAAATATGAGAGAAGAAAATGTCAACTCTACATCTTTTGGACTTTCCTACAGGCACAAGCCATTTGGAAACCTAATATATAGAAATTCCTAATCTGAGGTTTCTGTTAATTTATTGAGATTGTTCCAAATTTCCTTTGCTGTGTGTGCTTTCTCCTCAAACAATGTGCACAGTCTTGAGTGTGTTTTATTTTTATTATTATATTTTAGATAGGGTATCCTGCAGCCCCAGCCAGCTTGGAACCCACCATGTAGACCAGACTGGCCTCCATCTCAAAGAGATCTGCCTGCTTTTGCCTCTTGAGTACTGGGATGAAAGGCAAGCACCACTAAGCCTGACAATTCTGTCTTTGGGAGTCAGTCTTCAAGCTCCATGAATTTTATTACAGTTCTTTCTCTTGCAGGATATCTGGGTAATTGCCAAGATGTTAGAGGGGCAACTTCTCTGAGATTCTTTGTCTTTTCCTTAGAGGTTTTGTGGTGTGCAAAGAAGCTCCTTTTTCAAGGGACAGCGATAATTACAGAGTTTCACAACTGGTTACACACAAAGGTTGATGTGCAGAAGTTTTGTACTTTTATGACATCCCAGTTGTCCTTCTATTTCCTGTTCTACTGAATCCTATTAAGAAAGTCATTGCTTATATCTGAATGTTGACACATGCTGTTGACCTTTCACTCCAGCAGTTTCAGGATGTCCTGTCTTATGATGAGGTCTTTGGTCAGTTTGGCATTGACAGTTGTAGAAGTTGAGAAATAAGAATCAATTTTCATTGTTTCGCATGCTCATATCTTTTCCCAGCACCGTTTGTTGAAGATGCTGTCCTTTTTTCAATGTTTATTTCTGGCATCTTTGTGAAAAATGAGGTAGGCTAGAGTTATGTGGGCTTATATCTGTGTCCTGTATACCGTTCCAAGTGTCTGTTAGTGTTGTAGCTACACCATTGGGATTTTGTTTCCTGGTCCTGCTTCTTTGATGTTTTTGGTCTTTTGTACATGGATAGGCATTTCATTTATCCTCCTCCTCCTCTTCCTCCTCCTCCTCTTCCTCATCCTCCTCTTCCTCCTCCTCCTCCCCCCCTCCTCCTTTCTTCTTCTTTTGGTCTTTGTGAGACAGAGCGTCTCTGTAGCCCCAGCTGTCCTGAAACTCCCTCTGTATACCAGACTTGCTTTGATCTCACTGATATCCACCTGCTTGGATTAAAGGTGTGAACCACCATGCCTGGCCATGTGCATTTTATTCTTTAGAGATGAGAAACCTTCTATATGCTTACTTAAAAACATTCCCCATGCCTTCAGCCTAGAGTTCCTCTCCTTTTGTGTGTTCCTATAATTCATAGTTTTGGTCTTTCAGTGAGATCCTAAAAATCTTGTATGAATGCTTCCTGACATTTTTTTAAAAAGCAATTCTGTATGCTTTATCTAAAGGCAATTTTAGCTGATTACCAGAAAACAAACTTGTTTTAGTTAGCAAATTGCCAATATCCCCCTCTAGCGGTGCCAGCCATAAAGTGCCCTCCATTGTCCATAATCAGTTTTCCACTTACGCTTGAGACATGTATTTTCTTTGAAAAACCAGAGTTTCTGGAGGCTCATTCACCGTGTCAAAATTGTTTGTAGTAGTAGGGTTCCAGGTATTTGACTGGTAGTAGTAGAGATTTCTGAGGAAAAAAATTTTTTTTTTTTTAAATTTTTTAGTGTCAGGGTTTAGAGGAGGGATGTGAAGTAGGCCCGGTCAGAAAAGTGAAGTATCGGGATGTAGGGAGGATGTGGCTGGGCAATGCCAAAGCAGAGTTTGGGAAGAGTCTAAGGCAGGCAAGACTGCTGGGTTTTAGTGACTGGGAAATCCACCAGGGCAGGAGTGACCACGTGGAGCAGCAGGGTGCAGAACCTGAGGAGGGCTGGACTGGACTGGGCATCAAAGAGGACCCCAAGTCTCAGGATAGCCCCAGGAACCACTCATGGCAGTGTAGTGCAGGATCAAAAGTAGATGGAAAGGTAAGTGCATCTAGGCAGGGAATGGGGAAACTCACTAGCGCCACAGGAACCACATGGAATCCTGTGGTGGGGAACTTGAGGCAGGGTGGGCTTTAGGAACTCACCGAGAGTCAGAAGAGTAGGGGTGGGAAAGGGGCACCTGGGGTCAGGTTGGCCTAGGAAGCACTAGTTACTGGAGCATTGTAGAATAGAACCTGAGAGGAGGTGGGAAAATGAGCCTTTGCAGAGGAGCTTTGGGTGTTGGGTTGTGATTCCCCAGGGATTTGGTCTTAATTTCCGTCTTTTCTTTCTTTTTTATTCTATTTTATTTTTTTTTTACTTTTTTTGAGACAGAATCTCCCTATGTGACAACAGCTGGCCTGGGAGTCAACATGTACAACAGGCTGGCCCTGATTGATCTCACAGAGGTCAGCCTGCCTCTGCCACTGTAGTGCTGGGTTTAAAGCCTTGGTGTATGCCTTTCTAGATTTTTTTTAATTGTTAGCCTTCAATTTGAAAGTCAGCTCTAAAGTTTTGCTGCAGATATTTGGGTATGTTGGCCTGTGCATTCTTTTACATAAACTTTTTTTTATTTATTTTGTGGTTGCAAAAACATGTTCATAAAAGGGCTGGAGAGATGGCTCAGTGAAGGACTTGGGTTTTACTCCCAGCACCTACATGGTAGTGAAAAACCATCCTTAAATCCAGTTCCAAGGAATCTGACTCCCTCTTATGACCTCCTAGGGCACAACACAGGTGCACTTATACACATGTAGGCAATACACTTATACACATAATTTTTTAAAAGCTCATAAAAATAATGAGGATATATTGGCAACTGATCACTGTTAGGTAAGGGGAAGTTGGTCTTATTTAAGGGTTAACCAGGCTCCAGTGGATGGACTCATACTAACAGACATATGGGGACTCAAGCTTGACTCAATATGCCTTAACATAAAACTTTTTAATCTCACTAAACTGTAGCATTTAAAAGAAAAATTTCCACTTGCATCTCCCCCACCTTTTCTGTCTATGAAGGGGAGTAGAAGTATCAGTGCTCTTTTAGTTAACAGCACCAGGTAGAAGTTAGGCTTAGGATCAAATACCAGTGCTTCTGGAGGGAAGCTTAACCCAAAGGATGAAAGCCATGTCACTCTGTCTTGTTTGGATTAGGAGTTGTGTACCACTGCATTCCCATGATGTAGTAGAAATTCTTGATCTTCTTGGCACGGCGGACCACTCAGAGGCAGGAAAGCAAGTTTTATCGCTGTCTCCATGTTGAGCTCTTTCTTCCTGTGCATCTACTGTGACTACAGACAGTGAGAAAGGCCTGTTTTGTTTTCTGAGGCGCTTCTTCCTCTAATTAATGTTGGCAGGTGAAGTGGATTTTCAGTTCAGGTGAACTGAAAGGAAGTTTCTCAAAGAAAGAGAAGACTGTTTATGTAAGAGAGGCTGGAAAGGAAACTCACAGACGAAGACAGATGGCTTCTTTTCAGGTAAATACATCCAAGGGTATGGACCATATACTCTTTATTTATCAAAAAAATTTATTGTGAACTTGTAACCTGTTCTGGCAGAATACATGCTAAACAGACCAGACTGGCCCAGGTCTCACAGAGATGCCTCTCTCTGTCTCTGGAGTCCTGGGATTAAAAGCATGTGCCACCTTATCTGGCCCACATCAACTCTTTACATATGTAGCATAGCCATCTCTCCATCCTGTCTTTCAATGCTTGTTTTTTCCAGACTAATCAAATAAATATGTGACCGACCATCTCAAAAATATTTATGATGTGGTAGGTGAAAATTGAACCATGCCAGTCTTTAATTCCTCAGGAGGATGGACTTGGGTCTTCATCTGCCACTGTATTGTTGTTTAAACTTTCCATAAAATTGATTTTTTTTGTCTTATTTTATTCAGATACTGTTTTACTTTGCTTATCATTTAATCCCACCCACACCACAGGCCTGTATTCTTTTGTCTCCTGGGAGTTGGTTCGCTTGGTTGAGCTACCCGTGCACCCGTATACCCAGACTTAGACATCATTGTTTTTAATTTATTAGGCATAAGTTTTCTTCTGGTAATTTACAGAATGAAGCACAAAAATCATGACATTTAATGCAGAATCTCTCCTTTCATCACTGCAGTTTTCTTCCTTTCTTTAGAGAAAGAAAATATTCTCATTGCTTTGCTAAATACTTAGTTCTCCAGGTACAGATGCTGAAGCAGGCCTCTTTCTCTCTGTTGGTTATTTCTACTTCTCATTCAATCACAGCCTTACCAGTAATGGTACTGGTTCTTTGTATCTCAGAAAAGAGCTCCGCTTATCAAATGTTACATGTAGTTGTCTGATTTTGGAAACATTTGTGTATGCAGCATCAACGTTGTTCAGCCAGTGTTGGATCTTGTCTTCATGTTTTCATTATTCTCTGCAATGAGGAGCCCAGTTCTCAAATTCTTACTGTGGTATGCAGAAGTCTGCCAGTGTGTTCCTTCTTGACAAATTTTAAGTAAGTAAATGAAGATAAAAAGAGAAACTACTATACAAAGAATCTGTTAGAATACTTTATACCCTAATGTTTCTGTAATGTCTTCATTACATGTAGTTTCTAGGACACACTTCACAAGGATTGTGTCTCTTCTTGCTGTTGAGGGAGAGCACACACGGTCCCTGCCACTCTTCCTTTTAACTCCTCCTTTATTCTGCCATGATCTGCTCTGTGCTGCTGGAGTGTCTTTTGTACCTGGGTCACTGCCCTCACTGCAAAGCCTGTAAGGAAAAGGTTAAGTCAGGCCAGCCACAGATCATGTTAAGTTAAAAATCTATGTTTTAGCTAGGACTACAGTGCATGGTTATAAACATTATAATTTACGAAGCAGACTTATAAATCAGTGTGACTTTACAGTGGATAAATATATACAACTGATCTCATGTGCTACAAATGCAGGAGAGAAATGGTATTCCTATGTTGAGGGCTTAATTTATGTGCTATACTCCTTAAAATCATAATCTGCACAGAAATGTGGGAGCTTTGATGCTATTCTTTTTTGCTCAAAAGTTAGCAAGTAGATTATAGAGAGTTATTACGTTAAGAAATGTCCTTTTGAATTATTCACATTGTTCATCTGCTTCAGAACTTGTTTACTAATTATCTCTTCTTTTACTTGGGTCCAGTACCCTGTTCCTGGGCACGTGGTTGAATCATTGTTTTTCGTTTTAGGATCCATTGACTGTCAAGGATGCATTTGACTTCTCCAGGAGTGGGAATGCCTAGACTCTGCTCAGAGGGCTTTGTGCGAGGTGATGTTGGAGAACTACAGAAATCTGGTGTCTGTAGGTGAAGAGATTTGTCTTGCAGAATTATTTACTATTCTGCAATGTTTGAAAGATGACAGTCTATTTTGTTCATGTGTTAGTTTTATTGAATGTCTTGGATTGTTTAAAAATTAGTAAAATGGAAATATCTGGTATCATGAGGAGCATGTTTATATTTTATCATTTCTTTCCATTTCCACCTGTTACAAGAATTATCCACCTTCATTATTTTTGGTGTTAATTTTAGCCACTCATTAGTACACGATAATGTAGCCAGAATCTTAAAGTTCCATTGCCACGGCTGCATTGTGAATCTGTGATAGAACTTAGTGTATGAAAACTGAAAAAAATTCCTGTGTATTCTAATGAGTCCCTCAGAAAATAAAATTATTTTGTTAGTGGAAAATTATTTGGAGAGCTGTATCTTTTTCTCTGTATTATCAGTGGAGCACAGTTCTGTGTTAGAAATTCCATACTTTCTAAAGATTCCAGGGAGCGTCATGTGCCTCTTTCTTATACACAGGTCTTCCTCTGTGTAAGCTTGCTCTGGTCTCCTGTCTGGAACAAAGCAAAGAGCACTGGGATGTGAAGAGAGGGGAGACTGTAGCCAACCAGGTAGTTGTGAGTGGATGAAGGAGGGGCCCAAGTGAGATGTTCTAATTAAAGAGGGATAAAGACCTGAAAATGGTTTTTGCTATAGTCTGTTTCACTAGAAAGAGATTCTGATAGTTTAATTTAGAGTAGTTTCATCAAGATTTGTCCTGTGGTAAATGACTTCTTTTATTGCACACAAATTATGTGGATATTACTAATCAGCAAATATCACTTCATTTAATTATTTATTTAAATTTTCCATATCTCTCATGTCACATTTCTTGCCAATACAAGACAGCTGTTTTTTTTCTATGTGTTTTTCCTTTACTATATTTTTGACGTATATTTTTTATTGAATTGTGCATTGCACAAAAAAGTCTTAATCATCTTCATATCCCCTCCCCAATCTGCACTCCCATATACCCCCCACCAGATTTCATGCATTCTGTGATATATATTAAGGCCTATAGGGTCAAGATTTTAAGATTGTGAATTTACTAAATGTTATGTCTTTAGTTTTGTTTCTACTTTGAAAGTGTTTGTGCCTTTCTGATTCATTGTGATTTTTCATTGTTTTATAATTATTAATGTATTTCTTCCAAAAATGATTGTAAGACTTTGATGAGAATCACTTAGAATATTTACATACCATGAAATTCTATATTCTCTTCCCTTTTATATAATAATGTGTTAAGTATTTGTGACTTTCTACCTGGCCTTTGTGGATTCCTCTGTTTTCTGCCTACTGTTGATGTCTATATTCCAGGTTGGTCAGAAAAGAGATTGCAAAATACTGATCTTGTTTAATATTTAAGATTTAAGTCTATTGCCCAGTTCATTGTGAAAGTGTTCTTTGAGTTTCGGAAGCTGCACATTCTCCTGTGTGTGTGTAAGTCAGTCTAGGCTTCTTTGGGATCTGTGTTTTCTCATGCTGCTCATATGCTTGTTTCTTTATTAACAATCTTTGTGACTTCAGCATTGATCACAGATAGGATACAGTTCACAGAGCCATGGTTTGGAGGATCTATCTTCTTCAGGCACCTTTCTTCTCTCTATAATTCTTGTCAGCCGTGAGATGAGATTTCTTAGGTCATGACCTTCCATCTCACGGTTCTGCCTTGCCATTGTCTGTTAGCCACTGAGCCCCATGGCTACTGGACTGAAACCTCGAAAGATGGAGCCACAGTGTAATATTCTATCTGATGAATAATTTTTCTCAGCATAAATCAATGAAAACAAAACACAATGAACCGTTTGGTAATATGAGAGAACATAGATAAAATTCAGTTTCAGAGGAGAAATAAGTTAAAAAATACATTAGTTATCAATATACTTTGTCCTTGTAAAACAACAAGAGAATGGATGTAATATGCTCTGATCATAGAATGCTAATAATGTGAAGGAATGTGCGTGTTCACTACATATCATGAGTCACGTACAGTGTATCTACTCTTCAAACGTCATGATGTGCATCAAAATTTCATAGCACATTTCACAGAATAAAAGTAAGTAAATATGATCAAAGAGTCAAGTATCATTATCTAGGGACTCTTCACCTTAGGAAATGTGACATGAGAGAATGATGGAAAGTTTTCGAACTAACCTAATCTTTCTTCATTTATTTGTGATGCTGGGTTTGTGATTGTGTTCTTCCTGTAGAAGATTTTATTGTAGTTATGTTTGAGAACTCATAATCTTGTCTCCTGACTTTCTTTAAATTTTTATTTATTTATTTTTATGTTATGTGTATAAGTGTATTGCCTGCATGTATTTAAGTTCACCCATACCATGCAATGCCCATCACAGTCAGAAAAGGGCACCAAATTCCCTGGAACTGGAGTTAAGGATAGTTGTTACCCACCACATTGGTGCTGGAAATCCAACCTGAGTCCTCTGAAAGAGCAGTCAGTGCTCTTAACCACTGCCCCTGACTTTCCTCATGCTATTGAATCGATCAGTCCTGTCACTAAGTCAGAAGGTAATGAGATTTCTAATGTCGCCATTCAAAACATCGCATTCTTTCTTTATACTCACCCTGTACAGAAATAGTGTTTGCAGAGGGAAAAAAACATGTTTGTTCAAATGTATTCATCTGTTTCAAACACTCAAGTGGAATAGTAGAGTCGTTGGATTTTCTTTTAATTGAACAGGTGTTTTTCCTTTTAACTTAAAATATCTATATTTTTAATTCTCATTTAGAAACATTTTCATATATTTGATTACAGGTATTAATTTTACTAATCAATGAGTTTTAAAAGTCTATATTCAACTCAAGTAGCTGTTAGGACTAGAAATTGGGGGTGCGGTGGCAGAGGTCTTTAATCCCAGCACTCCAGGAGGCAGAGGCAGGTGGATCTCTGTGAGATCAAGGCCAGCCTGTTCTACCTACATAGGTAGTTCCAGGCCAGCTGAAGCTGTAGAGAGACCTTGTCTCAAAAAAAGGGGGGGTGGAGAGACTAGGAATGCATAGGACACTGTAAATGTCCTGCATGACTCTTCCCACTCAATATTTGGACCATCTCTCAGATTTCCATACACTTTGGGAAAGTTTTTGACTCTACATTATTTCATGTATTGTTCCCATAAGGAGTTTTGGAATTATTATAAGTATATTTTGTGATTTTTACCACTAATGTTTTTTTTCTTTTCTTTTTTAAATTGGTTTTTGGGGGCTTGGTTGGTTGGTTGGTTGGTTGGTTGGTCTTTTTGAGACAGGGTCTCCCTGGAAATCACTATGTAGATCAGGCTAGCTGTGAACTCACAGAGATCCACCTGCCTGAGTGGTGGGATTAAAGTCATACACCACCACACCTGGCTTCGCCAAAATATTTTTAGACACTGTATTTTATCTCGTGCTGCTTTTGAGTGTGAATAGTAGATGATTCAATATATTCACTGTTTTTCTATTTAAAATATAACCTTTTTATGAATTATTTCAAAATTTCATGCATTCAAGCAATGTATCTGTTCACAGTATAGGAAATATTGTGTTTGAGTGCTTAGTATTCTATGGCTCCAATTCCTTTTCTTTCTTATTGAATTTTTTTAAAAAATGCCATATACTATATACTGATCATATTTAGATACTCTCCATTGTCTGCACCCCCTTTACTACCCCTACCAATTTCATGTTCGTTCTCTCTATCTCTTTTTCTCTTCTCTCTCCATATATATATAGATATAGATATATAGATATATATGTATGTATGTCTGTATCCTACCAAATACTAGTAGAGAGGTGAGCACCCTCGTCTCATTCCAGATTTTAGAGAATGCAGTCTTTGTCTTAATTATATTGCTGTCCTAAGTTTTTCATATATGGTCTCTTCATTTTCAATTTGTCTTTTTTGTTTGTTTGTTTGTTTACAAATTTATTCAGATGTTTACATGAAGTGATGTTTGATCTTTACCAATGCGTTTTTGCATTTTCTAGGCTGAGCCTGACATTTTCCTCCTTATCTCTATTCATATGTTGTATTTCATTTCTTGTTTTCTGTCTGTTGATTCACTTTCCATTCCTGGAATTAAAGTAGAATGGTGATGCTTGTGATCTTGTTAACGTATTACTGAAGTCATTTGCAAGTAATTCTTTGGGAATTATGCATCTTTGTTCCTCACAGGAATTGATGGACAGTTTTTGTTGAACTTACTGTATCCTAATCAAGTTTTGGTTTTGAGGTAAAACTAGCTTTAGAATCTGTGTAGGACAGTGTTCTTGCTCTTTTATGTTTGAAAAGTTTCACGTTAGTTTTTCCCTATATATTTGTGAGATTTTAGTGCCTTCAATATTGGGATTCTCTTCAGAAAGTCCCCTTCTCATCAATAAGATCTAGCATAATCCCTGCTTTCTCTTCCATCAGATTCAAGGTATCATGTTTTAATTAGAGGTTCACGATCTATCTGCAGTTGAGTTTTTTGCAGGTTGATACATAAGAATATAGTTTCCTTCTTCTACATGTAGCTCTCCAGTTCAAATGAGAGCCCCATTCATTGTAGATGCTGTTGTTTCTCCAATGTTTATTTTTGACCTCTTTGTCAAAAATCACTTGGCTATATGTGCATAGACTTACAACCCAATCATCATTTTTGGTCCACAGATGAATGTGTCTCTGTTTATGCTGGTGCTATGCTATATTTATTAAAATAGCTCCATGGATTAAATAAAAATGAGGGATGAAGATACCCTCAATTTTTTATGTTCTTGATTATTCTGGCAATCCTGGGTCCTTTGTGTTTCCATATGAACTTTAAGATTATTTCTAATTTTTGTGAATAATGTTATTAGAAGTTTGGTAGGAGTTTCATTGAATTTGTAGATGACTTTTGGTAGGATGGCCATCTCCACGATGTTAATCCTATGAATTCATGAGCATGACAGGTCTTTCCATCTTTAAGTATCCACTTTTAATTGCTTTCTTCATTGTCTTAAAGATTTCTATACATAAGACTTTCACTTCCTTGGTTTGATTTTCTTCCATGATACTTTCTTTAATGCCATTGTAAATTGTATTGTGTCTTTGGTTTCTTTCTTGGTATGTTTTTCAATTTGTATATAAAGAACAGCTGATATTTGGAACCATGTGAACCTAGAAAGTTTTAGTCCAGTAAAGACCACTATCTTTTTAGTATAGAGGCAGCCTAGTGAATGGAAAAAAATCTTTACCACATATCTGTCTGACAGAGGGTTAGTGTCTAGGTTATACAATAAACTCAAAGAATATTAAGAATATGAAGAAC